TATAAAGCCAGCCTACAATTGCAAAAGACAAACACTTTCACCGGTCAAAAGCTGTGTTTGTCAACAGCAGTCGGCAGGAGATTCCCGTTTTTTCGAAAGGTTACGGCAGTGCAGCATAAAGAATACACTGAACCCGCTTGATGGACGTCTCTGTGGTTTAAGCAGGCACCACCGTCTTTGGCTAACATTTCTGTTTAATTGTGGTACTTTTCCGTGTGCTGTGTCGGCCATCGTGTCATTTGGTGAAAGTTGGGGGGGGAACACTGACAGTGGGTCTGAGGCGGCTCTGTTGAAAAGAGAAAGCAAAGTAACGTACAATAGAGCATTTATCAGCCACTCTAATGCGAAAGAGTTGAAGGACGGGAGGGTGGACTGTGGTCAGAACAGGGTGGTCTGAGCACGGCCATTCGTCTGCTACAGCCGTCGGATTCGTACGATCTACTCTCTTTCATCCTCGATTCATGCTACTCTCTTGTGGTTAGCTGTCCACCGGTTATTGCTCACCATCGAATTGGTTACTTATCCGTGTGCGCGTCGACAACATGGTGCATGTTAAGTGGAGGCAGAACGGTGACCAGGATGGTTGCACTTCAGTCGGTATTGTGACTCGGTAGGAGTGTGAAAGTAAGATGAGATACACAGCCAGGCTGGATCGAAAAGTAGTTGAAGAGGGAGCGGTGTTGATTAGAGTGCAGGGTGGCTCTTGAAGCACCTATCCATTGTGAGGTTCTCTCACGCATCGATATCGCCATTCTCTCTTCATCCCCGAGCCACTCTCTCCTTGCTCTGACACAGGTCACCAAGTAGTCATCCCGGCTCTACATAATGGAAGTTGGTTAAGCTCAGGAAGCAGATAACGGAGCCAGGAGGGGTTCAGATTCAGCGTGATACTGGCAAAGTCAGTGAAGGCTTGAACCGCCCAGCGCAGCGGGTGAAAACATTTGATTCATTCTTGCGTCTGCTAGATAGTAGTCACTCTGTCGCTGGTCAGACCGCTTGTAGTGAAGATATCTGTGGTTGTGTCTCTTTACGTCACAAGAGAATCGCTCTTGATTCTTTCGTAGGCTTGCACGAAATCAGAAAGTGAAGTTAACGCAGTATCTCCGAAGCAACGGCAAACATCTGAGTTTATGTGAAAGACTCCGCCATTAGCGCAACGTCTTCTGGTTTGAATCCGGCCAGGGACATTCATGATTTCGCCCATTTATCTGACATCATTTCCTATCAATTCGTTACATACTATCGCTATCTAATAAATCAATACAAAATTCCACAAAAATACTGAATCAACTTTACGATTTTTGTTTCACTTGCACATATTCTATTTCAAGGCATATTTGATAACAGGAACAACGTTTTAATTGCAGGTTTATATCTATATTGAATGATGAAAAACAAGTTATAAATGGGACTACTGGTGTTTAATTAAATGTAACTAAAAGGTAATGTGTTGTAGAGGCTACAGGACGTTTAGTCCAAATTAAAAATGAATAATCAATAATAAACATGAGATATAGTTGCGACCTAGGTGTGTTGTTAGCTCCAAACTACTCGGTGTTCTTCCAGTTCTTCCAGTCGCGACGAAGGGAAACACTGGTTTGGCAGTTAAATAAAAGAGGGAGTCATTGTCGCCGTTGGCTCTCCCACTTTGGCCTTCAGACCCCTAGGAATGCTGGGGTGCCCAGTGAAGGGGGGCCCGCAGAGGGCAAATCAAGAACCACTCCCCTCTCCACCCTGTCTCATCCCCCGTCTCCATCCCCATTCCCTCCTGTCCCTTGGGGTGATTTCAGTACCTGCATCCGCCATCCCATCTTATCCCTAAATTCGAATCTGCCCGACAGCGGCCCTGATCCCTGCCTAGCTGGAACTGAGGAACGGTCAAACCGCTCCCAGATTAAGGATTTTCTGATGCAACTGGTCAGGGATCACAGCAGCTTCAGAAACCCTGCAGCCCCAGATTGTGTTTTGGCAGTCTGAGTGTGTGTGGTGTACCTGTGTGTACTTCATCATGTGAGTTGCTGCTCCATATGCCAGCGTATTCATTGCGAGTGTTTCCTTCTCCCTCCGAAACGTTTCACCTCTGCTAGATCTGTGTTTGGAAAGACGTCTTTTGCGAGAGACGATCATGTTTTCATTTCACTCTCATTTTAGCACTCCGCTCGTGCTGCGCCAGGCTTTCCTGTGTTCGGGTGCATTGATGTTGCACGCAGGTAATTAAGAAAAGCTGCCCGCGTTTTTGTTGCTCTGACGCTCTCAAAACAAGGAAAGGCAAGGCCCAGCAAAATTTTTAAAAAGTGAGAGACAGAAAAATGAGAGGAAGGGAAGGGTGTGTTTGGTTGTTGCAAGTGGCGGCGGGCGGGGGCGGAGGGGAGGCTGTAGGCAGGAGTCAGCGGCCTCTGCAAAAGGGCCTCCAGTGTGCGCAGGTCTGGCTACCCCCTCTGCGGGGCCCCGATCGATACAAACTCAGAGCAATAAAGCTTTCCCCCTGTCATCTCCGCAGAATACAAAGCAGAGCGGGGAAGGAGAGGGGGGAAGGGAGGGTGAGGAGGGAGCAAGGGATGGGGTGGTGGGGAGGGAGGGGTGCTGTTCCGCTAGCCACACCAATTTCCTAACCCCCCCAGTTTCACCTCCCTCTTCTTTTTCTCTCCACCTCACCTTTCCTGTACCTCCAACCTCTTCTTCTTCTCCTTCTTCTCTCCCCTCCCCATCCTGCTGAAATCGGCCTCGGCCAAAGCAAATAGACTGACACGCCGCCTGTATTTTATAATTAATGGTGTTTGAATAAATACACTTAATAATTCATCGTTGTTATTTAAGGAGAGATTGATGGATTGACTGAGAGAAAGTAGAAGAGACAAACAGAGCAGAGATCAGCTCTGAGGAAAGGTGGGAAATGGACGGCGAGGGGGAAAGAAGGCACTGCTGTATACTGATGGAGAGAGGGGGCTTTAAATAGAGGGGGGTAGGTGTTGGTAACAGAAAATGGGGATGGGGTGATGGCCGTAGACGGAGGGGGGAAGGGAGTAGAGGTATTACACTGAGCGAAAGATGGATGTGTCGATGGAGAGGAGCTCGGCGCGATGGAGGTGGGGAGAATAAGGAGGAGATGGAGGCGGGGGGGGTATTTAACGGGACAGGAAAGGGGGACAGGAAGGGGTAAAGAGGTCAAATAAGCGCTCTGTTTAATTGGGAGCCAATTTAAGTCGGGGTCCAATCGATAAACCTGTAAACCTAACCATCTAACGGCTCGCAGCACGCACCATAGATCACCAGAACCCAGGGCGGAGGATTCAACACAACTCATTCTCCGATGTATTCATTTGTTTACACTTATAGAGCACCGTAGGTCATCAAACCTGGTGCTGTCTTTTGCTCGCGAAGAAATGTACAAGATCAGATCCTAAATCGGAGTGTGTCACAACGAAAAAGCTTGATTTTAGATTTTGGTGAGGGGGTTTCTCGACACACAGTACGGGGATTTGTTATCCTTGAATCCAAACAGTCGGAACATCAATATCCCTGCAGTCACATGACAACCTCATAACTCCAAATTGAAGGATAATATGATCTTCTATGGGTGGAGAACATTCTGCCATCCCTGGACTTATGAGCTCGTTCAGCCTCCATTAAATAAACGTGATCAAGGTCAAGCTGAAAACGAGGCTTTTGACTCTTTATAATCCTCACATTAAAAATAGCAAGTATTTTTTTTTGTTTTACAATTTGATTTGAAATGTTTGGCAAATTAGCCAACAATGTTTGCGGGAGTACGTGTTATGAGTGAACCATTTTGGGCAATTCATTTTTGCCTCTTTTTTTGGCAGCGCCGTACATTTCCCTTCCATTTTGTAATTTGATTTTAGGAGCAATTTTTATGATGGGTTTACCCACGAGTGCTATACTTCTGTCCTGCCGTAACGGCGACGATACATCCGTGTTAGTTCGGACGTGAAACTGGGATTTCAGGGCGGGCGTTTCATGTCTCGGCGGCTTCTATCTGACCTTTTTCCTTTCCCTTTCTTCCTCTCGTCTCATTTTTTTGCCATCTCTCTGTCCGGTTTGTCTGTTCATTTTGTCATTGACTCTGTTGCACACAATCTGCCCCCTCCCTCCTCATCCAATCACTCACACACACACCATCAAGGCGAGGCTGTGTGTCTTTGTTAGTCCAATTGTCACTGTCTTTTTCCTTCCTGCTATTTCCTGCGAGGAAGCTCTGTCACACCGCAGTTCGCTCTTCACTTCTTCTTCTTCAATAATCTCACTGCAATTTTCACAAATGCTCTAAATGTGTGTTTCTTTTTTTCTCATCTTTGCTAATTTACTCCCTTCTGCTCAGTTCTTCACTAACTGTCCCAGCATCCCTCTACTCATCCATTCACTCGTGTCCGCTCTTCCCATCAGCCCTTGCCTTTCTTTTTCTCATAGGGGAGGGAGGATTTTCCTCGTCTAATTCTCTTCTTCAGCACACCTCGTTATTTCTTACACCTCCAGCCATTATCCTAGCTTCCTACATGTTTTGTTGTTGCCTGTTTGTCATTTGCTTGTGAATTTCTTCATCTTCCTTCCTCATTTGTTTTTCCGCCTTCCTCTCATGCGTCTTCCCTACTGTCCCATCACCATCCTCCCTCCCTCTGGTTTCTCCATCATTCCCCCTGCCATCTTTACTCCCCTTGTCTTCCTCTTTGAAACATCTCTGTCATGTCTCCTAGCATCCACCATTATCCCTCTAACATTCCCAAAATGTTCAACATCTTGATTCCATTTCCCTTCTTCCTCCTTCGTCCACTATCCCAATCTTTACGCCCCGGCGCAGGGATTCTGGGTAAGGAAGTAACACGCAGTGGCCATTTCCTCCCCCCCCCCTTGTCCTCCCTTCCTTTATTTCTCTGTTTCCATCCCTCCATCCCTGGGTTGTGCTCCTTGGGGAGGGCAGTAATAATGGTGGAGAGAAGGAAAGAGGGAGGGCGCTGCGATTATTGTCTTGTCGGGAGTCAGAGGAATCGATCGGCACAGAAATATGTGGTGCGAGAAAGAGGTACTGTATCGGATATAATAAACACTCTAGAGACATATTCGGAAAGCGCTCGCCCTCGTGCACGCCCACATACGCTCGTGAACACACACATACAGCATGTAATCACTCTCTGTCTGACTCGCATACGTGTGTGCACAAAACACAGTTGTGCATAAACTCATACAAACGGTACTCATTCACTCTGGAGAGGCCGTTTCTGTTTCTCAGTATTCAGATGCATGAAACAAGTCACTTATGGAAAGAATCGATTGCTTAGAAAGAGGATTACAGATCAGCGTATGGTGTTCTTTTCAGTTGTTTCATTCTTATACTCATGTTAAAGGCCTTTAAACAGGAAGTGATTAGCATTTCTGGGAAGAACACTGGAAATTGCTTACAGCTGTAAAACCGTAAAATATGGTGAGGTTAAATTCCTTTTAAATGGGGTTTTCTCCTTTTTTTATCTGACAACTATGATGTTATTATTACCTGAGGGAAAAAGGCAGAACAATCATTTAATATTGGTTAAAAAGTGTAAACGATAGCGTAGACATTAACATGCAACACTCTGTTTGCCTCACAGCGAAGCCTCCGCTTACAGGCAGGGAAACATGTTTATTCTTAATGATTAACACTCTCACAGGTACACACACAAACATGTGAGGAGCAGACGAGCTCACACACAGACACATACACATACACATGGACACACACTCAGTAATCTTTCATTGCTGTTGCCTGGCAACGAGTCTGTGTGTCCTGTGCTAGCAGAGCGCTGTCCAGTGGTGCCATGACCGCTGCGGCTGACCACTACTGAAGGAAGGAGAGGGGGGAGGAGGGGGGAGACAGAGAGAGGAATAGATGTAGACACAGAGGGAGACAAATGACACTTTTAGCCAAACAAATATTTCCCTGACACAGAAGTATTACATTTTTGGTGGACGCAAAAGGGCAGATTTAACAGTTAACAGTTGCGGTGATAACATTAATGTAATGGAGCAGAATCTAGACTTAAAGCCTCAAAATGACTTCAAATAAGAAATGTGTGAAATAGAAAGTGAGCGCAAAGAGTAACTTGAAGATGTTAAGTTCAATTCAGGACATATCTTTAACAAAAAAATTACATATTTACGCTCTAAATCTAAAATAAATAATAATTTCTTTCCACATAAGACAGTCATAGTTGTATCAATGCATGCAGCCATTTTAAGCAGCTATTGCAGAGTTATTTACCTCGTATGGACTCGTTATATTATGGATACCAGGCTGAGGTTTTGCTCTCGCTGTATGTGGCCACAACAAGTGTCAAGGTGAGCTAGTTACCAGTGTGCTGACCATTAGCTTTGCCAGAGGTGAGCTCACCCTCCTGCACAGAAACATGGTCCACATAATTAGAATCATCTGCACCAATGTGTTCACATGTAGCGCAGAAAAAAACATTTTTACACAACACATATGAACAAGAAATACAAAAGAAGTACAGAAGGTGATAGCTAGACTGGATGTTAGAGATAACAATGTACGGAGAGAATGGAGGAATAAAGGGAGGGGAAGACAGGTAAAGAAAAAGGGGGGAAGGTTAGAGAGAAATGAGGAAGAGAAGAAGAGGAAGACATGACATGAGAGATAGATCAGAATAAATCATAAAAGGGCCAATGGAGGACAAAGGAACGTAGGAGGTGAGGGACACAGTGAAGGAGAAAGGATGCTTATTAGAAATGACAAGGTTGAACCTCAAGCTAACTGGCAGCTTTTTGTACAGGCTACCTGTTAGCACTTCCTGTTTGTTTGTCTTTTAACATGAGTATTTACCCAAATACGCTTACCTAAAACCCAAACATAATTAGTTTACATAAGAAAGTGAGTGCTTGGAACAAAAAACAAAACTCTCATTTATTTTTTTAAATAATAAGCAATATATATATATATATATATAAAAAGGATTGTTTTGGGCCTCCATTGCCTTGACTGTAGAGACAGAGTTGAAGGGGCAAAAGGTCCCAGGCCGGAATCGAACCCAGGTCCAAGCTCTGTTCATGAGCCAACAGCTCTACCAACTGAGCTACATAGCGGCCCAAATAGGCCTATCTATGATACAGAATATGTTGCTTTATATTAGTCAGTTGGATATAGAGTGGATCATTTGTCAGTATAGGTTAAAGGCATATATATAGCCAGGAGCTTAGAGGGAGAAAAAACTGGAATAAAAAACAAAATCCAAATTTATTTTCCAAAATATTAATAATATGAAGCAATTTCACAAGTTCTGCTGTGTAATATGTATATGCATCAGAATCAGAATCCCTTTATTAGTCCCACAGAGGGGAAATGCACATTGTTACACCAGAAAAAGAGCCACAGATAGCTTAATGTTACATGCATTAAAAAGCAAAAAAAATGTTTAGCATAATTAGATCATCTCTTGTTTTGTAAAAGTCAACCTCTGCTGTAAATAGTTGCGAAACCTTTGAAACACAGTATAGAATTTAGACTATGAAATCAAATGTACACAGTTGGGCGACATCATTTGGAAGTATAATTATTCTGCCACAGTCACAATCTTTCATATATATATATGCAGCATGTTCTCCGCTCATTTAAAGCTGAATATATTCTCATTACTTGCAGCCCAATGCGTTCAGATACACAGCTCTGCTTTGTTTTCAGCTGGAGAGATGCTCATTAAAACGA